TGCAAGCCTGCAAGGAATTTGAAGTAATACTTAAAAAGGTAGTATGATGGAGAAATATATCGACTAAGTGTGGATTATGAATAGTTAAATGAATTTAAAAGTGTTAATGTGGTATAGAATAATGTTACTAATGGAGACTGGTTGTCTTTTGCAGAAATCATATTCTTTTTTTGATATATACTACTTATATATGGGAGTTTGTTTTTCCTAAATCGATAAAATTGTTGCTTAATTGAAAAATAATGTTACTAACAGGATGGTATCAAACATTTTATGGCATTTCAAATGGAAAATTGTCTGATAAATTGGAATTGAGGGAGCTGCTGCCTGCTGCATCCTAGTTTGAGTAATGTTGTTATCTGGGGAAAAGGCTATTGGTATCAGACTAGGTTTTATATTTGCTGGAAGATCTTATGCCTGCTCTATGTATTACTCCCTCCGGTCTAAAATAAGTGATTTGTTGGCCTTTTTCTTGTGGTCTAAAATAAGTGATTTTTTCATATTTCAAGAATGAATTAATTATTTTTTGCCTACATTATCCTTGGAGTAAATAGTGTTGGAATATGTGTTAGGAGTGTTTATGTGAGATAGCAAACGTTAATATGGTCAATTCCATTGCTAATTAATGCTAAAAAGTGAATTTCTTAATTTGTGTGAAAACGTCCAAAAAATCACTTATTTTGGACCAGAGGGAGTAAGTAATATTGACGTGAAAACCTGCCTTTGCCAATAAAACATTGGCTTCCAGAAATGTCTAAATGAAAAGAAGGACCCACGTTAATTAGGCTTTTTAGGCTTTCAGGTTCGTGGTATCGTAATTGCCTTGTGCTACAATTGACTCTTGGTATTTAAGTCGACGCTGTAGCAGCAACTTCTGCTTTTTCTCTGCTGACATCACTTTGTTTTTTTCACATCGGTTGACATTCCTATCCGTTTCTGATAGGGGACTTGTTTATTTGTGTATGATTCATCAGAACCGTAGTACCTACTCTTAAATGATACTGCGCAAACTCTCATAGCCTTTTAACACTGTATTAATTTTTATCACTAAGATGCATATCACATGGCACGAAGTGACAAAATTGAGGCTATCTTTGAACAGATATAGTTACCCCAAAGAAGAAAATATGGGAGACAATTCATAATCTCATGGTATGTTTTCAAAAAAAAAGTACGCTTTGACTATTAGTTTTTGCATAAGTGACATTGGAATCAACTGAATACCTCTAGACTTTCTGATCAATTTTTGTACCTATAAGGAGAACAATTAGGATAATTTTTAAGGTTTTTTTCTTCGTATTATAACATCCATGCAATGGTACTTTTCCAAAGGTAAAGCTTTGCTAACTAAGCGGGAAAATCTAACCAAAACATGACCCGAAGTGAAATAAAAGAAAGTGGACACTGTGAGACGACACCAAAAATGAAAAAGCGAATATGTCAAGCCAAAGTTTTTGTTACGCACAAAAATCGGTTTACAAACAAAAAATGAACAAAAGAATTGTACAAAAGAAAATGATGGACAACAACAACCATTAGCAGTACAACAGGGATGAGCAACAATGAATGTGTAAATATGACCCAACGTGTACAAATATACGAAAATAAGATAGTTGGTTACCTTACAGTGCTGAACTTCTTCTGCAAGTATGTTGGTTGTACTGAACGTAAGAGAAACGTCAACAATTCTACAAAAACAAAAAACAATTTCAGTCGTGGTCAACATACAGAACATGTTGGGAATCGAAATACTCTTAGAAATAATTCTATGCGAAAATTGTAATGTCACTGTCTCAAATGTAATGGTACAACGAAGAAAAAACGTTGTTGGTGTGTGCTACTGAGTCATTCCATTAGTTTATGATGTTGACTGATTAACCGATCAAAATAACATGTAATTCACCAATTTTCATCGGAGAACCTTTCAGGAATTAAAAAAACAGAATTTGTTACAGACTTTGGCAACAGTCTATTATCGAAGCAAACATTAAAAAATAATTATGGTTCAATTCATCTCCGTAGGGTGAAAGCAATTTGTTTCCCCTTTCTCTCCCTTATTTGTTTGTGTTCTAATAGATAATAATCACTAATAATATCCTTCCGGCTTATTAACGGACACATAAAATAGACTGAGTTGTCTGACAAAATAAAAAAAAATTCCTAAATTCATTATCTCAATTGACGTTATATTCGTTCTCTCAAATACAGTGCTTTCTTCTTACACTTGGAGAATTCATGATGCACTAATTTACTTTAAATTCTTTCCCGCTCTAGGTTAGGAAGGCTATCAGTACTTCGTATGACTCTTCCAAGATACACTGATGCAAAAAACCAAATGTAGTTACATACTCCACCTAGTATCCTCGTAACATAGGCCACAAAGGCTAAATTTTCGTTGTTTATTCAGTAGATCCAAATTTAACATCAACATCAGACTTTCTCCAAATTTCCCTTCCACAGGCTAACAAAAAAGCTGGTCACTCATCCTAGAGTGCAATTTAACCTAAGAGAAAACAAGGAGGGTGGGGAGACAAACTACCAGTCACATGGTAAATAAGAATTTACTAAAATATTCTTTTAAACAGTATTCCTAGATTTCCCAACAATTATTTATGGTCTAATTGGTGGGCCTTTTGTTTTAATCTTAAAGGGTATACATCACAGTAACAACAACTTGAATAGGTATCTTAGTATGAATATTGTTATCTTTTTCAAGTACAAAGTACTAAAGCGTCATACAAGGATACAAAGAGAGAGAGAGAGGCAGATAACGCGACAGGCACCAGAACGAGCAGTTGTGTGCCTAGCTTTAAGTGAATAAAGATCTCCACAAGTTTATTGAAAGAATACATTACAACTCCTTTCTCTCAACATTGTCATAGGGAAAAAAGGCTACAAGAGATGAAGATCGCAGCTAATTTTAGATGCTAATCAAAAGATAAAAAGAAAGACGAAAATCAAGCTTATTCATGAATCATAACTGAAATATCCAAAAAAATAGAGAAGCTACTGGACACGCACCAAGATTTCAGGGAAGTAACATGGTTCACTTAAAAAAGAAAGAACATAGTAAAACTCACCAGAACTGATAACATAATTTAGTTCAAAAATTGGTACAGCTTCAAGTAGAGTCGTAAAAACAATTTAGTTCAATTTAATTCACATACAAACTCTTGAGTAAGATACTGCAGTACACAGAAATCTAAGGGAGGAGACAGAGAAGGAAACAAGAAGTACTCACTTGTTTCACCTAGCAAGCAGAAACACCAAGTGGAACAGAGTAGTAAGCCAGCAAGTAAAAAAAACGAAAAGAAAACCCAAACAGAACAGAAGATATTGCAGATATTATTGGCAGTCACCCCTAATCGGATATCCATCGAAAAGAAGGTATTACACATCTGGAAGAATAGCTGACAGCAGCATAAGCAAGAACCGATTCGTCTTCCACGTCGATAGAGGATGAGAAAACGCGTATTGAACAGAGTGCGATGGGAAAAGGCGCTCCAGAAAGTACAAAGTGAGCAGAGTGACAAAAATACCCCTACTTTTGGATCAAAATTAGGGACATAATTGTAAATCAGGAAGCAGGACGACGAAGAGCCCCAAGCATCTGTAGCGTACTTCTGGCGGTAACCGTTAGCCCTAAAGCCAGTTCACTTTTGTTGTCCTTGTTTCTGTTATTTTGATCTTTTCCTTCGATTGCACACTCATCCAAGTCCCGATGGCAATGGATCATTATATTTTCGAAATTAGGTTTCTCTTCGCTGTCAGATTTCATCTTCGGAGTTTTTGGGTTGCTGACAAGTTTCTTGACTCTCTTTGGATCTAGACACGGAGTGAAGAAGTCTTCTGTATTGCTTCCTTTTTAAGCTATGTAAATTGAAACTGAAAAATTTGGGTTTGGGAACATTTCCAGAAACTGTTTAATTGTATTTTAATTACCATGAAGTCCATGTGAAAAGGTAGGTCTGGTACTGTCATGACATATTGAAGATGGTTGCAAAAGAACTGTGACTCTTTCTCTTCAAATACAAGGTAGTCTCCTTAGTTTCTGGTTTCTACACTAAACATATTTTATAGTGGGGTTAGTCTAGCAGAAGAAAAATGGAATCATCTTTTGCGTCTTCGTCATAATTTTCTCTTTTTTCAAATTTCACGGGGATGAATTTTTAGTTGTGTGATTTTGTTATTGCTAGAATCTAAGTTAGATGGTACAACTGAATAAATAAATAAATCTCTGAATTTAATGGGTTGTTCTATGTTGATGTCTCAATAATGCTATGTTGTTATTCATATTGTGATATCGTATTCTGTTTCTGCGAATCTTAAGTTGCAGCAGGAGAAACTTTTTTAAAACTATGATATCGTATACTGTGTCTCCTTGATGTTTGCCTTTGTAGACAAAATATAACCACTAACTAAATAAGTTGGAAAAAAATCTTAAAGAAAGTGATTTGATATTTTGTTTATAATTCAATTTAAGAATTACAACTAAAGTAGTTTCACCTTCCCCTTAAATGGTCTAGTGGATAAGCTTTTCCAGATAGACAGAACCATACATAGAGATAAAAAGAACATCAAAAAGTAAAAGCTCAACAGAAACAATAAAGTGAAATTTCTTCATAATTAATTCAAAACTTTGGTGAATTTCAATAATGACAAATAAAACTAGATAGGCTTCATCTAAACCCAGAATAATAAGATGTTTATTCTAAAACAACAAAAATAAAACTAGGAAGTTTCATAAAAACAATAATGGTCTGTGAATAGGCTTTTCGATACTGAAACAAACTAGATAATAAGATGATAAGAAAAATTAATGCTCAACAAAAATCAATTTTGACTAAATCTAAAATGGGTTTCACCGACATCCCGTACAAACACAATAGGTGCTCTTCGTCGTCCTGCTTCGGGGTTATATTTGGAATTTTCATCCCTCCTTCAGGGTTATTTTCGAAAATCTTCCCTCTAACTGGCTTAAAGTTGTTGTGGTGTACATCCCTTTTGTTCAACACGTAAGAGCTAGCACAGGCTTCAGTTTCTCATCTCACCCCGCGCTCTCTCTCTATTTCTCTCCTCTCTGCCTCTCTTTAGTTTCTTTAGGTATAGATCACTCTATTCCACTTCGTTTTCTCCCTAAGTTTGGAATTAAAGCGGCATATTGTGTGCTGTTGATTTTTTTCCTGTTTTTTTTTTTTTTGTATTCGAGAGGTTTGGTTGGTTTGAACCCAAGCCCAAGTTGCTTCCACTATAACTCTTCACACCAAAGCAAAACTGGAGAAGACGACCATTTGTGATTGGCTATTTGCCGCATCTATCAGGTGTTGGGGTGTACTTTGCTTTGTCAAACACGTGGTGTGCAATTCTTGAATCTTCCCTTGTGTATGTCGTTCCCTCTTTGTTTTTCCTTTTAGGTTTGTAATTAAAGCTATGTAATTTGGGTTGAATTCATTCTCATAGGATTGGAGTCAGTGCTGGATATGTATCTTCAAAGAGCGACGAGCGTAGGTCTTGAAAAACGTGGCTGCCAATCTGTGTGTCTGCTCATCCTCTTCCTCACTCTATTCTGCACAGTTCGATTTTCTTTTTACCGCTGCTGGGTGATTTATTTCTCTTACTCCTGTTGTTCTCCATGTCGGCGTTGCTGAAGCGTAAAATTACGAGTTCTATTGAGAGGTGAGACTTGCTTTTGCTGGAATTTCATGCTCGTTGTTGTGTGCTACTCTGATGGCAAGTTCGACTTGGTTCTTTTAGTTAGCTTTCTGTTTCATCTTGATAAATCTTATGACATTAATTGGCTTATTAACTGACATATAACGAACTATATATGTGAATTAAGTTGTTCGTTCAATCTGACATAGAATTCATGGGAATTCGATACTATAAATGAATTCACGATGAGGTGCATTTTTTGGCTTTAATATTTAAAAAGCGATAACCAATTGCTTGATATATTTTATTGGGTTCTCCGGAGTTTGATTTGGATTAAGGTTTGGGAAATTGGATAAACGAAGAGAAGTAAAGAGAAGAAAGACAGGCACATCGGAAAAAGGAAAAGAGACTCTATGTCGCGTAGCTGGAGATGGAAGCTGATTTAAAGTGGGTGACATGAAATGAATTGGGAGTTGGTGAGGCTGGAAAGATTTGAGACTCTGGCTGCTGAAATGTTGAAGAGGTCGAGTTTTCTTTGTGTAGGCTACGACAAATTTATTTTATTTAATTTGGGTTAGCGTTGGGATATATGTTACCCGGAAGAAAATTAGTATCACATGACAGATTGGTCAGGTCATTGCGAAGAAATAAATTTAACTTTTAGAATACAGAAGATTGGTATGGTCGTGTAACTGCATTAGATGACGTGATCGTACCAGCAGATTTATCAGCTCCTAATATGCTTATATGTGCTTACGAAATTAACATTAAGACCGAAAAAGATGAATAGTTTGCAAGGAGATGCTTGTACGTGCCCCTATGATTACTTTTATTCGTCGATTACAAACAAGCTGAATATTGATGCTGTTGCATTTTCTCTTGCTTCCATTGTTTTCCCACATTGGAGAACTTCAATTAAGCTGTCGATAACACTAGCAGACATAATCAGGATCTTGTTATTCTCATGTATTGAAAGGTTGAGCAATGCTGTGACTGCATTCTTCCGGATTCTTATATCACGGGAACCAACCAGAGTCTTCAGAAATGGAATAGCTCCAGACTCAGCTATGATTCTGCGATTGTCCATTCCAGTTTTTGCGAGCAATCTTAGCTCAGATGTTGCCTGTCTCTGTATATCTGGAGATGCTGTTGCCAATTTTCCAACTAAAAACTCTGCTGGTATTTTATTTTTTCATGGACAGCACGCACATAAATTGTATTTAATACTTCTTCGGTTCTAAAAATATGTTTTAGTTTGATTTGGCATAAAATTTAATAAAAAGAGAAAACTTTTGATATATGTGATCTTAAATAAGTCATAGTATTTGTGTGACTATAAGTATTTTATATTCAAAAAATATTAGAATATGTCAATTTTTTTAAAACAGACTAATATAAAAACAATGTCAATCTTTTTAATATGAGTACTTTTTTCTTCTACTACAGTACTACTATTATCCTCGACATTTCTCTTCCAATTATAGCAAAACAATGTAGTACTACTTATAATAATAACTGTACTACGTTGGAAGAAAAGTTCTGCAGCCTGTGCTGTTTCAATACTATTTGTGGACAAAGACGTGCCGAGTGCTATAGTTCGTATACCTTCTATTTTGATGATGAAGGTATTTTTTATTATTAAAATAACTCTTTAATTGATTTTTCTGCCGATTTTGATCCATCCTTGAGTTGTGGAAGTAAAGTCTCAAAAACAGGAGTTTAAACAACATTAATCTATTCTTGTATACCTAGTACTCGTGTATAAAAATCTTTTAATTAGAAAAGAATAATTTGAGTCACATTGTCCTTATTCATTTTAAAATAATTGCATGTTTATCATGATCATTTTAAGACTTATCCGTTGTTAAAGTTGTTGATTTTTCTAGTAACGGTTGTCCTCTCTATAAAATTGTTTCTGGTAGAGTATTTATAGTCTATCATACTATATTTCTCATTTACATCACACTCATTACACCAAAATGCTAACAATCCAAATCCATACTTCACCATTCGTACAAGGCTTTTTTGCCCTCAAAACACCATGAATTTCTTTCGAAGGAATCCAACATGTACATGCTAGAATTATGCTGCATAGCTTCTTCAGTCCTCTTTTATAGTAGCCACTGCTCCAGCAGACTAACATCCATGGCTTATTCCAACTGACCATATATACTGAAGAACAAGTCCCAAAGTTATTAGATGGAGATGATCTGCAAAAATAAGTGATAGTTGTTCTCACCTCCTCCATCTGACATAAGACACTGCTGTTCAACATCAGCATTCCTCTTTTCTGCAGATTGTTTTGAGTGAGAGAGGCTTCATGTGTTGCCACTCACATAAAACATGCTACTTTATACATGGCTCTGGTCTTTTAGTCTTTCAGATTACCTTCCCAGCTCACTTATAGATGTCTTCGGTAGTATTATTAAGCAATTTGTAGCACCAAATGGAAGTCCTTTTTGAATAGTTATGTACTGCTCTAACAATACCTTCATTCATTCATGAACATAAAGCTAAAAAAAAGGAATGAGTAAAAGCATGGAGAATTCCACCATAACATGCTCCACACGTATCATTAACTACAACATGATAAGGACATGAGAGGAATAATATATTTTTAATCTAATAGGACCGTAAAAAAAACCTTCATAAGATGGTAAACATGGAGACAAAACACCTTCAGCAGTAGTAACCTCCTCAAATGAATGTCATTGAATTCTAAGTAAGCGTAGCGAACTAAAATTCTATAAACCAAAAAGAAGGGAAAAGCAAAACAAGGCAAATGGGCAGAAAGAAAAAGAGAATAGTATTTATTCGAGCGATGCAACTTCATGCAATTCGAGACTACAGGGCAAGAGCAACCTGATGTTCCATCCAAATAAGAAGTAAGTTTCGTGCTTGCAGCACTAAGATATTTAGATAAGATCCAATAATGGAAACTGAAGCTGTAGTAGGAGAGCTTACAATTTTTTTCATCACGATTTCTCTTCTAGTGCTACCCTCCTTTTTATTTTGGACATTGGGATGGGCTAGAGAAGCACTACTTTGAATATCACCAACATTGGATATCTAATTTCACGTCCTATTTTGAGCTAAACAACAAACTGTTTTCCGGAACTAAGGTCACCAAAGGGGAAAGTAAACAAAACTCAAAAAGAATCAATTCAAAATGCAACATGAAAAGAACTGGTAGTCCGATCCAGGGAGGACATCCTTAGAGTGTGATTCTTGGATTCAATGAAGAGGAGCCGAGCAATACAACATGGATATTGTCATCATTCACACAAATGAGAACATATATATATGTGCTAGAAAAATCAGCCTAGAAACAACAAATGGGTAGTTTCAGATACCTATATAAGGTTTTCATCCATATATATATATATATATATATATATATATATATATATATATATATATATATATATAAATAACCATTGGATCATAGTTTGCACCTGTGATGTGTTGTTGAAATTTTGGTGCTTTGTTTGGATGATAAATCAGAAGATCTTAATAGCCATTGAAGTACAATTAAAAATAATAACATCTGCAACAGAGTGAAGAAGAAGTGAAAGCAACATGAAGAACAAATTAAAATCGAGAAGAAAGTCTATATAGTACCTGAGTTGCAAAAGAAATTAAAAGAGCGCCTAAATATGTTTCGTCCATTTAAAGTAAAGGGTACGTCTAAGAATGCATCTTCCGCTTCAATGCCATCAAAATGTACTTAGCATGCTTACTTTTCCTTATTAGTTCAAATAGCCCTAGTTAGATTCTCAAGCTCTAATAAACCCGCAACAAGAACCGCCTTTATTTTATGTCGTGTCGTAAAGGCTAAGAGCTCTTATTCCGCAGTAATGATTCCTGCTTATTCTCGCTTAGTTTAAATAGAAATTGATCAATAGAAAAAGATAAAGTTACACAAATACACATTGAAAAGATCTTCTATTGCTAGATTTTAGGCATTACCAGCAAAGGCAACCTCACAATTTCAGAGGCTCCGGAAAAAAATTCTATGTTTCGTATGCTCCGGTTGTTAAAGAGCACTACATTTATCTTTAAGCAACAATTGAGTTTTTTGTTCTTCATGTTAAAAAGAGTAATGAAGTGATTGATAACTATCGAGTCCTCTTGCACAAGAATGAAAAACATACATAGCCGCCCTTACTCAAAATGCAACCAAAGTACGAAATCAGAGAACAATGCATAAGAAATGTAATAGAAAACCTGATTGAAGAATTTTTCAAATACCTAGAGAATAAAATTTAATAACATGATACACTTCCACTGTTGAAATACCATCGCTGCTCAGGGAAAACACAAATACCTAGCATATCGTCAAAGACTGAAATAAATAAATACAAGAAGTACAAGATGAAAAAAGGGATACCCAATAGAAAATCAATATGGACAGAAGGGAGGCGTGAGAGAGCAAAGGTGTGAAAATAAAAGGTGCTTAAAGATTGAGCTTTTTACGTAGTGTTGAGTCTGGTAAGAGAAATTTAATAGATGTAAAAATAAATTATAATTTTATCCTCGCACATGCACATTGACTATGAGCTGCCTCTTATCCCCATTTATAGTGTTAGGCTAGTTACAATGAGCCCAGGCACAGCTTTCGAGCCCAACAACTATATTCAAAGGTGTAAAGTTTTACTTTCTGCTCTATGATTATTTAGGGTACATAATTTAAAAGAAGCAACACGGAGCAATTTAGAGTTAAAAGTGTCAATTTCTGACTAATTATGTTTGCTACCTGTTGGAGTTAAGAAGTTGGACCACAATACTGTTGCTAATGCTGAGACACACCCCACATAAAAGAAGAATCCTATTTGTTGTATTTATTTGTATCAGCCCACTTATTTAGTGAGGCCCATTTTTTAGTCATTCTTTATTAGTCAGCCTTCTTCACTAGTTAGCCCATTTTTGTATATAGCAAAAACTTTGGACTCTTCTAGAACATACATAAATCATTTCTCTTCTTTTCAGATTGTAAAAAATGAAAAGCTCTCCTCTCTCTTTTCTCGTTACTTCTTCAAAAGCTTTACATAGATTTCAATGAATCCATAGAAATCAATGTTTTCACATGGTATCAGAACGGAGATTCCATTCCTACTCCTCACCAGCTTCTTTGCGATGTTACCCTCGCCTATTTTCATCAGAGTTTTCTGGTTCGCTAAGAAATTTAGGGTTTTCTAATTTCATTGAGTCTTCTTCTGCAATCGCTGCTTTTAGAGGTTTGTCGTACCTGAGATTCATCGGATTGACATGAAAGTCAGTCGATTCCTCCGATTCTTCATTTTCCAGTTGTTAGGGTTTGGTTCCTTTCAAGTTCAAGGCCGTTACCGTCTTTCGGTCGCAAATACGAAGGGTATTCTCTTATCTAGCTCACTTTTGCTGTTTGAATCTATTAGATACTAATTGTGGTGAAGATATATGACTACATCTGCTGTGGTTGAATTCTATGAATTTTCTGACTAAGTAATTGAACTCCAAAAATGGTTAATGTTGTTGATGATTCTGTATCTGCTAGTTCCTCTGCTAATTTCATCCCTGACCCTTCGAGTCCCTTGTTTCTTCTGTCTTCTGATGTTCTGGGAGTTTCCTTGGTTAGTAACCCTTTTTCTGGGACTGGATTTGGGGGATGGAGACAAAATATGATTGTCTCCCTATCTGCTAGGAATAAGATAGGCTTTATTGATGGAACAGTTCTCAAACCTCCTGAAAATTCCCCTCAATTTAGGCCGTGGGATAGGTGTAACAATATGGTCATATCTTGGCTGACCAACTCCCTTACACCAGACATAGCTGAAAGTGTTCAGTACTCTGACACTGTCCAAAGTATTTGGACTCAGCTTAACAAAAGGTATGGTACTGTCAATGGTACTAAGGTTTTTGAGATAAAGCAAGAGTTAGCATCCACTAGTCAAGGGTCTTTAGATATAGCATCTTACTTCAACAAGCTAAAGAAATCGTGGGATGAATTGGGTTTTATGCGTGCATCTCGTGGTAGTTCCTGCATATGTGCTGCCAAATCTGAGCTCCGAAGAAAAGATGATGAGAACAAGTTGCATCAATTTCTCATGGGGCTTAATGACACCTATGTTGGAGTTAGGAGTAATCTGCTCATGATGCAACCTCCTCCATCTCTAGAAGTGCCTACAACATCTTGCTTCAGGATGAGAGACAAAGACAAGTTTCCTCACCATCCCAATTCCGTATGATTCTGCCTCTTTCAATGCCCATCTCACTAACAAGTTCTCAAGGACACCTGCCCCTCCTGAATAGTTCAATCAAAGAGTCAACTTTGATCTCAACAAGTCAAATATAGTGTGTAGTGCAAGAAGCCTGGACATTTGGTTGACAAATGTTATAAGCTCCATGGGTTCCCACCAGGTTTCAAATTTACCAAGGGTAAGAGGACTGCTGCAAATATTGAGGTGTAGGGTTATCCAAATTCTGTTGGTTTTCAGAATACTGTTTAGAGTTCTCACTCTCCAGCTGAAGGGTCTTCTGAGTCAGAGTCTTTGATTCCTGGGTTAACCAAGGATCAATATTCACAACTTGTGATGCTACTCAAACAGACACAAATTTCAGAGTCACAGCCCCAGTCCAGCCTCATGGCATCTGCCAACTTTGCCGGTACTTTCTCTCCATCCAGTTGTCTGAAAAATGTATCTTGTGGTGCTTGCATGTTAACTAAAGTAGATGAATGCATTTGGATTACAGATTCTGGGGCTACTGACCACATGACCTCCAATAAAGAACCTTCTCTTTGACATTAAACCATTAATCATACCATACTTAGTTACCTTGCCAAATGGTTATAAGGTCAAGATAACATGTACTGGTTCCATTCAATTCCTTTTCTTTACATTGCATCATGTTCTCTATATTCCTAGCTTTCATTACAACCTTTATCTCTATATCCAAACTTGTTTGCCAGTTAGATTCCATTGTCATATTTACTAAGTTTTCCTGTTTGATACAGGCCCCTTCACTGAAGAGGCCACTAGAAATTGGTAAATTGGATGATGGTCTTTACAGGCTTGTGCAGTGCTCCCCTTCTCTTTAATCTCATACAACAGCATGTCAGTCTAGTTCTATAACTGCCCCTTTACTTGTAGAAAATGTTCCTTGTAAATACCATTCTGAATTGAATAAAATGGAGATGTTATGGCATAATAGAGTGGGGCATATACCTTTTGTTAGGATGAAAGAAATTTCTCATATACCTTGTAAATTTTCCACTAAACAGCCTTTCATTTGTACTGTTTTTCCATTAGCAAGGCAACCTAGGTTACCTTTTCCTGATAGTTCTATTAAAACTACACATGCTTTTCAACTTATACATGTGGATACTTGGAGACCTTATGGAACTCCTACTCATAATGGGTGTAAATATTTCCTAACAATAGTTGATGACTTCACTAGAGTTACATGGACTCACCTTATGGGGTCCAAGAGCAATGTTTTTCCTCTTATCAAAGCTTTCATTGCCATGTTCAAAACGCAATTCCAATCTGTTGTACAAACCATTAGAAGTGACAATGCATTTGAGCTTGGTTCTAGCAATTGTGGCAGTAATTTCTTTGCTGAAAATGGAATAGTTCACCAAAATTCTTGCTCTTACACACCACAACAAAATGGTGTGGTTGAAAGAAAGAATAGATATCTGTTAGAAACCTCAAGATCCATACTCTTTCATTCTCACCTACCTATTAGATTCTGGGGTGATTGTGTGCTTACTGCTACCTATCTTAACAACAAAACACCTTTTGAACTACTTTTTGGACAACCTCCTTCTTATGACCATATTAAAACATTTGGCTGTCTCTGTTTTACTACTGTCTCCAAATGCCATAGGGATAAGTTCCAACCTAGAGCTGACCCTTGTGTTTTTCTGGGATATCCATTGGCTAAAAAGGGCTACAAATTATACAACTTGAAAACTAAGGTTACCCTAATATCTAGGGATGTAGTCTTCCCTGAAGATGTCTTTCCCTTTGCTTCTTCTATGTCCATTCCCAATGCTCCTTCTCCTCCTCTTAACCCCTCTACTAATTGGAGTTTGCCTACTGACAATTCCTTGTATGATACTTCTCCAACTCTGTACCTCCTACTTCCCTTTCACCATCTCCTTCTTTTTCACATCGACAGTCTCCTTCTTCACCATCTCCTCCTCCTTCACAACACCAATCTCCTTATTTTCCCACACCACCTGCTCCCAGGAGGTCCAGCAGGACTCATGTTCCTCCTGCTCATCTACAACATTATGTTTGTAACCTTCCTCCATCTCTGTCTGGCCCCAGTTCTTCTTCTGCTTGTCTTCATAGTTTAGTTAACACTGCTGAGGTAGAGCCTACCTCATATCAGCAGGCTGCCTCAATTCCTGCATGGCAAGAAGCCATGAGGAAGGAGTTTGAAGCTTTAGAAGCCAATCATACTTGGTCCATAGTCCAGCTACCTCCAGGTAAGAAACCCATTGGTTGCAAATGGGTTTATAAGATCAAGTATAGGGCTGATGGGACTATGGAAAGATATAAGGCTAGATTGGTCGTTAGGGGTGACACCCAAGTTGAGGGTGTGGATTTCATTGAAACCTTCTTCCCTGTTGTCAAGTTTTCAACTGTTAAGTGCCTTGTTGCTGTAGCTATCAAACAAAATTGGCCTTTTTTTCAACTTGATGTAAACAATACCTTTTTGCATGGTGATTTGGATGAAGAGGTCTATATGAAGTTACCCCCTGGGTTTTCAGCCACCACTTTATCTGGTTCTGCTTAATCTTCTTCTCCCTTGGTTTGCCTTCTTCAGAAGTCTTTATATAGTTTGAGACAGGCTTCTAGGCAATGGTATGCCAAGTTATCTCAAACCTTATGTTCCAGGGGATACTCTTCTTCTCTAAATTACTACTCCCTTTTTTCTAAAAAGTCTGCTTCTTCCACTGTCTTGTTGGCTGTCTATGTTGATGATATTATTCTGACTGTAATGATTTGGAAGAAATTACTACTTTAAAGAGTTTTCTGGATAATGAGTTTAAGATCAAAGACTTGGGGGTTCTCAATTACTTTCTTGGGATTGAAGTTGCTTACCACTCTAATGGCCTGCTCCTTCATCAGAGAAAATTTATTAAAGACCTTCTCAAGGAGTACCATTATGAGGATGTTACTCCTGTTACTTGTCCTCTAGACCTGACTGTCAAGCTCAAGGTAGATATGGGTGATCCTATTCCTTCTCCTGGAACCTATAGAAGTCTGGTGGGTAAGCTCAACTTTCTCACTCACACTAGACCAAACCTGGCTTTTGATGTACAACATCTCAGTCAATATCTTCAGAGGCTACTTCATCTCACATGAATGCAGCCTCGCATATACTCAGATATCTTCAAGGTTCTGAAGTTGGGGTATTCATCAGCAGCTCCCCTGATCTTTCTCTATCTGCTTATTGTGATAGTGACTGGGCTGCCTGCCCAGACACCAAGAGATCCTTTACTAGGTTATCCATTCTCTTAGGTGGTTCTCTTATTGGTTGGAAGGCTAAGAAGCAACCTGTTGTGTCTCTTTCTTCTGCTGAGGCTGAGTATAGGGCTATCAGTAAGGTTGTTAGTGAGCTAACATGGCTTGTTAGGCTGCTTTCTGATTTTGGTATTCCTGTTCCTGTTGTTGTGCCTGTTTTCGGTGATAATCAGGCAGCCATTCACATTGCCAAGAATCCTGTCTTTCACGAGAGGACCAAACACATTGAGGTGGACTGCCATTTCATTAGGATAAAGCTTCATGAGGGTCTCATTGCCTTGCACCATGTTCCTACTGCTTCTCAACTTGCTGATGTCTTTACTAAGCCTTTGGCTGGCGTTGTCCATCATTCCTTAATGCTCAAGCTTGGGGTTCAATCACCCTCCACCTTGAAGAGGGGTGTTGGAGTTAAGAAGTTGGACCACAATATTGTTGCTGATGCTGAGGCACACCCCACATAAAAGAAGAAGTCCATTTGTTGTATTTATTTGTATCAGCCCACTTATTTAGTGAGGCCCATTTTTTAGTCATTCTTTAGTAGTTAGCCTTCTTTAGTTGTTAGCCCATTTTTGTATATAGCAAAAACTTTGGACTCTTCTAGAACATACAGAAATCATTTCTCTTCTTTTGAGATTGTAAAATATCTCCTTCTCTCTTCTCTCGTTATTTCTTCAAAAGCTTAACATAGATTTCAATCAATCCATGGAAATATTTCAATCAATCCATGGAAATCAATGTTTTCACAGCTACCCCATCTTGATTGTTGGAAAGATATAACTGTAAGTTCAAAAATGGTCCGACTCTCCAGTAGTACCCAAAATATAAATTTCGTGTCCTGTAGCATTAAAATAGGTAAATGTAGTTCATAACAAGTATAGAAGAATACACTTCACAGAATAAAAAATATATAGCTCTTTGGATAACCAAAACCATACTGTACAAGATGATCAATGTTGAAGATATATACAAATCCGTAGGAGACTTAGGTAGTAGTTACATCAAGCAGCATAAATAATTTCGTCGACCCTACTTTTGGGCACACACTCTTAACTCCAGCTCTAGAAATGCAGCTCGTAGTAATTGAAACAAGTATGAAATATTCCTGCAGAATAAACAAGTTAGCAGTAATCTAGCTTCATGGGATGTGCTCTTCCATTCCTAACATATTTTGCAATGTTGGCAAAAAGGAAATATAAAGTTCAATTTTCAACTACGAACTCGGTAAGAAACAAACACAAACAAACATTAATCTGCAATGCTTGAGCATTGTAACTATGAAATTACAGCGGGAGATGCAACCTCTGTTTTCAGGAAATGCTTTTTTCTGGTAAACTAATTCTCCCACTAATTGACTTTAGCTCCTCATGAGGAATTTAGTATACAAACACTTAGTTGTATCCTACCTGGCACAAAACTAAAAGAACAATTCCAGTATGGGAGCCAAATTTCCATAGCTCAAATAGAATTCAGGGGAGGTCCAATGAAACTTTTCATTAGCCATATCTATAGTACAATTTTTTCTGACCGTACATGTGTGTGCACTCGTTAAAGCAAAATAGGTAAATCAGGTTTTTCCTCGAATATTTATAGAAAGAGATACCCATTAACTTTCAGAGTCATTTTTATTTTTGATCATCTATGTTTGAGCTAAAATAGTTTATCTTTAAAGAAAGATCAGTTATTATTATTCGAACTCACTGCTTATTCTTACTCCATATTTGTGGTGAATCAGTTGTGTTGATTTTATAATAATATCACGCTTATGAATATCAGTAAACTTCTTTCCTCAATATAAAAGCTGGAGATCAATTGCCTAACCTTATTCTTCAGCAACTGGATTTCTTGAAACATGATATGCATTTGCAAGATATATAGTTTATAAAAATAACTCTCATATCATATAAATAAAAATGCACTAAATAATGTTGATAAACTATTCATTTCATGAAATTATTACCTTTGTTGAACGAATATGATACATACAAAGTTCAAGGTATTTTTCAAGTGAATGCAATTCATCTCGTGTCATTGTTCCAGCTCCTCCTCCATACATGCAGCTAAGGAGAAGTTTTTGGATAATTAAACTTTGTATCATTATTAAGGAAGAAGTGAAAAAAATAAAAAAGGGCCATATTTACCCCTCTACTATAAAATATAAGCATGAAGAGAGCGCAAATAATACAGTATAAACTGAACTCATCTGGAAGTGATCAAAAGCAAATTAGTAACAACAAATAGTCAAAGAGCATAGCGAAACTAAACAGAAAGATAATCTTTAAGAATAAAACAGAAATACCTTCAGAGCGCATATTGCGAAAAGGTTGCGCAGTCGCGAGCGGAATATTTTTGTATTTTTCGACACTTGTGACCCACAAGAAAGCATTAAAGCCTAAAGAACAACCAAATAGTGCACAGTTATAACCAGAATGATCAAAATGTCTGCAAAGCATAAGTAGGCATGTTTACGGGCAACTTCATAAAAAAAGGACGAAGTCAATATTATGAAGTAGTTGGAACCTAGCAAATTGCAGCTTGTGTACATATGAGCTGCAAACCATCTTGTTAATGGATTACCGTGGTTTCCATGCCTAGCTTTTACTTTGTCCCTTAATTAGAAAGTACTAATGGTGCTTCAAGTATTATTTGATCTTGAGGAGGACTTTTAACTTTTTCCTTCCTGTTTTAAAATGATTCGAGGGCTATAAAATACTATAATTTCGAACAAATGATCACTTAAGGAGAAATTACATAATGCGGATGAGCTGAAGCTAAACGAAATACATATCAAGTTATTAATTTGTATTTGTTGCGCGAAATAAATAAGTAAAGAGCTGAGATTACTAAAAAGTAGAAACACATAAATAAACTTTTGTATTACTAAAATCAATTTTTAATATACTTCTACCCGTTAAAATTATCATACAATATGCTGAAAATCATCAAAGAGAAGTATGTAATCTCATGAATAAGTGCTCCTTGAAGTTTAAAATGAAGCGACTGTATTTCAAAGGCAAACTGAGGAAGCAAATTTAGACAGAACAAATGTACTCTTTGAAGTCTATAATTTTTCAAGTGGAATACAAACTTTTCTCCTTAAAAAATAGAACAATAGTCAATGTTTTTCTTTTAAAATAATATCAGAGAAACTAACTTTTTGAACCATGCGATTACCTGGCAAGAGCAAAATCCGAGCTGTGAAACCCAGAAGACCTAACAGACCATTCTGATCTTCATGTTTTATACTTCAGAGAAATCCAGCAATAGAAACCTAAAAGTACAACCAAAAAAAGAATAGTTCAATCCTTTTCGTAAGTAAATCTGTCTACCTTTTTCAAATTTTGCCTAATGGCATTATCAGAAAAGTATATGTGAGCAACTTCACTTGACATGTTATTCATATTCCTTCAACGATCAAAACAACAAATTCTTTGTGAAGGTAAAAAAAATTCCCATCCTTCCAGAGTACATGCAAATAACCAGCAGCAATAGTAGAAAAGGGCTACATCAGTAATTCCAAATATCTATTACAACTTAACAAGGCTCAAAGAATGGATCAAAATAATAAAGAGTGAGACTGTTAAAATTAATGTATTGTCTTGTCCCCATTTTTCCACATTAGTTCACATATGTCCACATTTGCCTAGACTTGTTCACATATGTTCAAACTTGTCTACACTAGTCCACACTAGTTCACATTAGTCTACACTAGTTCACATTAGTTCATGAACTAGATTAGTAGCTACATACATGTACTAGGGTGTGAACTTATTTATGTAATGTGTGAACTTATGTGAACATAATTAGTATGTCCTCATAAGAAGTAGACTAGATGCATGTAGGAGTTTTACTAGAAATACCCCATGTATTCTAGCCATTTGAATTATCAAACAAAATCAAGTGAAATTAAAAAAAAAGTGAATGAAAAATATCCTTCACAAATATAAAAAAAAAATTCTCTCTTTGATTTCCTCTTTGATCACTAATCTTCCTACCTCAATCCAGGTATCAGAGCCCGTTCGATTAAAAAGTTGGGCGTTAAGAAAAGCTAAACAATGGCTTTAACTAATGGACAAAGAGTGGCTCAACTATCCATTCCTATGTTCAATGGAGAAAATTATGATTTTTGGTACTTGAAAGCTAAAACAGTTTTTCGAGCACAAGATCTGTGGGAACTGGTTCGAAATGGTTATAATGAACCAGAAGAAGGAGCAGAACTCACAGATGCAGATACAAGAACACTAAAGGAGACAAAAAGGAGAGATGCAAAAGCTCTTGCTTATATTCAACAAGAAATGAGTGAATTCATCTTTCCAAGAATCATGAGAGCCACAACATCAAATGAGGGTTGGGAGGCTCTACGTGAGGAATTTCAAGGAGATACACGTGTACGAAACATCAAGCTTCAAACTCTAAGATGTGAGTTTGAAAACTTGAAAGATGGAGAAAGTTTAAAAGAATATTGCTCCAAAGTTGTTGAAATAACAAATCAAATGCTATTGTATGGAGAAGTCGTTAACGATAAGAAAAAGATCTTGATAAGTTTGACTGAAAAATATGATCCCATAGTCTCTATTATTTTGAACATCCGTGAGTTGATGGCATCACTACAAGCACACGAGCAAAGGTATTTAAGACACTCCAAAAAATCTATTGAGAGTGCTTTACAATCTAAGCTCAATGCGTCCACAAAATCACAAGGAGAATCATCAAAAGGAGGAAAATCAGGCCGTGGAGGAGGAAGAAATCAACGAGGAAACAGCTCCAACAACTCTAAACAAAAATGTGGAATTTGCAAAAGAAGCAACCATGTTGACAAGGATTGTTGGTTTCACGGAAAGCCACAATGCAACCACTACAAAAGTTTGGTCATGTGGAGAAGTGTTGTAGATTCAAGAATCAATAACAAGCTAAAGTCTCTGAAGAAAAAGGAGAGCAAGGCCTGTTCTTTGCAAGCTGTCGAACAGCCAAAGAGAAAAATTACAATATTTGGCTGTTGGATAGCGAGTGCAGCAATCATATCTCCGGAAACAAAAGTATTTTTACAAGTGTGGATGACAAAGTGAAGGCCGAAGTGAAAATGGAAAATGGTGCCGTTGTTCGAGCAATTGGAAAGGGCTCAATCCGTGTCCAAACAAAGGAAGGTACAAAGTTCATCCATAATGTACTTTGGTTCCAGATTTAGATCAAAATTTTATTGAGTGTTGGGTAGCTGGTGGAAAATGAATATGTTGTCTATTTTGAAAACAATTGTTTCACAATTTATGATAAAAAAGGAGGAAACAAATTGATGGCAAAAGCAATGATGGAAAAAGGAAGAAGCTTCTCATTAACCTTCAATTATGGGTGTGACGATCCGGTCGGTCGTATCATGAGTTACCGCTCCGTTTTCCCCATTTCTACTTCTATTTGCCTTGATTATTGGTTTTAAATGTGATTGGGTTGGTTGGCTCGGGTTCGGAAAGGTTTTGAGAAGGTTTGAGACACTTAGTCTCTTTTAAGAAGGCTTAAGTTAGAAAAGTCAATCGGATGTTGACTTATGCGTTAGAGGGCTCGGATATGAGTTCTAATGGTTCGGATAGCTTCGGGAGATGATTTGTGACTTAGGACTGTGATCGGAATGTGTTTTGGAGGTCCTGAGTATCTTAGGCTTGAATTGGGAAAGTGAGTTTTTGGTGTTTTCCGGTTGATAGGTAAGATTTTGATATAGGGGTCGGAATGGAATTCTGGAAGTTGCAGTAGCTTCGTTATGTCATTTGGGATGTGCGTGCAAAATTTCAGGTCATTTAGACGTGGTTTGGTTGAGTTTTTGATTGAAAGCGGAACTGCGGAAGAATATAGAAACTTAGGCTTGAATCCGATATGTTTTGGTTGATTTGATGTTGTTTGAGGTGTTTTGAAGATTGGTACAAGTTTGAAGAAGGTTTTAGGATAGTTTGGTGCGTTTGGTTGAGGTCCCGGGGACCTCGAGTGAGTTTCGGATGGTCAATCGGACCATTTCATGAAGTTTGGAGTTGCAGAAATTGCAGGTTCAGCTGTTGCAGAAAATTTCTCTTCGCGATTGCGTAGAAGGTTTTGAGGGGGAGGTCCAGTTGTTCTTCGCGTTCGCGGAGGATGGGTTGCAATCGCATAGAGGTATGGAAGTTGTTGATTGCGAACACGTAGTGAAGGTCGTGTTCGCGTAGAACGAAGTGGACCAGGGGTGTTGGCTTGGAGATTGTTCTTTGCGAATGCGGTAGTTGGTCCGCGATCGCGTAGTGTTAATGGTCTGAGCATCGCGTTCGCATGGTATTTCACACGTTCGCATAGAGAAATTTTTGGGAGCTGAGTATTTGTGCTTCGCGATCTTGAAGGTTGTCCCGCGATCGCGGTGAAGGAATTTTTATAGCTGGGCAGAATATCTTAAAGACCTGTTCTGCGACTTTGAACCCTTTTACATCATTTTTGAACGGGAAAAGAGCTTTGAGGCGATTCTGAAAAGAGGAAATCATTGTTCTCCATTAAGGTAAGGAGTTTGGACCCTAAAACTCGATTATTTTTTATTAAGGAACAAAATATCAGTGTTTAATTCATGAAAATCAGTAGAAAAAGGCGAAGTTAGGGCTTGAGATTATGAGACCTTCTAGGGATGATTTGAGGGGTCAAACGAACTTCGATTTTCGAGTTCTTTATATGTACGGACTCCTGAGATGATGAAGAACATTTTGGTATAAAGTTTGTCCAGTTCCGGGTCGCGGGCCCGGGGGTCGGCTTTTGACTGATTTCGGGTTTTGTGCTTAAAATCGATATTTTTCAATTGGAATTCATTCGTTTAGCATAATTTAATGGTAAAAGTCTAAACTTGGTATATTTGGAGCACTCGGAAGTCGTTTCGAAGGGCAAAGGCATTACAAGCTAGATTTCGGGCCGGATTGAGGTGAGTAATGATTTCACAGTGTACGCCTATGTTGAGGTGACATACACGCTAGATGACGAGCGTGGGGTAGAGCACCATTGGGGTTTGTGACTTAGTCCATCCCGAATTATTATTTTACTGCGTATTTGATAGTTAATTGTTTGATATTATTATATTTTGGGCTAAATGCCATATGTAGGCTTCGTGCCAGCTGTTTGAACCCTTAGGGGATTTTTAAATGATATTTTCCTCACTGATTGATTTCATAACGGTGCTCAGTCATACTATATTTTTACCACTTTAAAACTCAGCTATGTTATTCTGTTTTAAACACATTAAATGATGTTTTCAAAGTATTTGAGCTGAGCTTTATATTTTACTGTGGCCCGAGGGGCTTATGAGATTCTGACTAAGTAAGGCCGAGGGCCTGTATTGTGAGGGTACTTTTGGGTCGGGTTGCACGCCGCAGCAGTGATATACTGATTATGATAATGAGGCCGAGGGCCTGAGATTGTACGCCACGAGGTGGCTTGTGATTATGCTAATGAGGCCGAGGGCCTGAGATTGTACGCCACGAGGTGGCTTGAGATTGATATGAGGCTGAGAGCCTGTTTATGATGCCACGAGATGACTTGATATTGCGCTTGGGCCATAAGGGGCTCCTCCCGGAGTCTGCACACCCCCAGTGAGCGCGGGTACCCATTGTAATTTGAGATATAGCCCGAGGGGCTAGTGTTGTTCTGTGACTTTGCCCGAGGGGCTGATTTGTTGTTACTATGCCTGAGGGGCAGTTATTATGTGTTTACATTTTAGTTGTTTTTCCTGTATATTATTTAACTGTTTAAGAGATGTTTATGAAATTTCATTGTTTAATTATATTTACTAATTTGTTATGCCTCTTGCAGCTTAATGTTGTGCCTTACGTGGTTTTATATTACTCAATCTTCATTTATTTTTATTACTCACTGAGTTGGAGTACTCACTTTACTCCCTGCACCCCTGTGTGCAGATTCGGCGCTACAGGTCCTGCTCCTGAGGGTTGATAGTTCCAGCAAGTCTTTGGAGGTTTACTAGGTAGCTGCTTGGCGATTCGCAGCCCAGTACATTCTCCCTCTATTTCAGTTTCTTTTGATTCAGTTATGTAGTAGTGGATTAGACTCTAGACTTTTAGTATTGTTTTAGATGCTCATGACTGGTGACACCCTGATGTCGGGCTGTGTTGGTTTATTTTATTTTCGCAACTTATATCGTTATGTTTGGGATTTATTTATATTAAAGACTTTGGTTTATTATTTTAACTGCTTAAAGTGAATTGGTTGTGTGTCGGCTGGCCTTGTCTTCACGAGAGGTGCCATCACGACCAGGTGTGGGTTTAGGGTCGTGACAATGGGGGAGAAGTAGCCATGAAAGCACAAGTAAAAGATGAATTCTGGCTGTGGCACAAAAGGTTAGGGCACTTGTACTTTAATGGAATGAATTTAATGCAGGAAAAAGAAATGGTATATGGGCTGCCGAAAATTGAAGAAAAGGATGGATTCTGTGAAGGATGTGCTATGGGAAAACACCATAGAAACTCATTCCCTCAAGGCGGAGCTTGGAGAGCAAACATAGCTTTGGAGCTGACCCATACCGATATGTGCGGTCCAATGAGTACCACATCTCTTGGAGGTAACAAGTATTTTATCTTGTTCATTGATGAGTATACACAGATGACTTAGGTTTATTTTATGAACCAAAAATCCGAGGTGTATGGAATTTTCAAATAAAATTCAAGAGCCTTGTGGAAAAACAAAGTGGAAAATATATAAAGGTGCTAAGAAGTGACCGAGGTAGAGAATATACCTCAAAACAATTTGAGAAATTTTGTGAGGATGAAGGCATTGAAAGGAAACTAACCGTTGGGTACACACCACAACAAAATGATGTATCCGAAAGAAAGAATCAAACAGTTGTTGAAATGGCAAAAACTATGTTGAAAGAGAAAGGAATGCCAAATACTTTTTAGGCTGAAGCAGTGTATACGTCGGTATACTCGATAAACAGGTGTCCGACCAAGGCAATGCAAAATAAGACCCCCTTGGAAGCTTGGAGCAAGAGGAAACCTTCAGTGAAGCACTTGAAAGTTTTTGGGTGCATTTGCTATGCTCAAATCCCGAAAGAAAAAAGGAGCAAGCTTGATGAAACAAGTGAGAAGTGCATTTTTGTTGGTTGTAGCTCAAAATCAAAGTGCTATAGAATGTACAGTTTGAAGAGAAAGAATGTCATCACCAGCAGAGATGTGTTGTTTGATGAAGGAGCCAGTTGGAATTGGAAAAAGAATGAGGCTACAAAAAACATAGTGGTGGCTGAAAATGAAGAAGAAAATAAGGAGGAAGAAGTTCCAGAAGTTGATCCTTCGTCACCTTCAAGCAACGAAGCAAGCTCTAGCACTTCGAGTCCAACAAGTATGAGAGACCTTGCTGACATTTATGCTTCATGCAACTATAGCATGGTTGAGCCAGCAAGTTTTGAAGAAGCAGTTAAGGAGGAAGTTTGGAAGAAGGCTATGGCAGAAGAGCTATATATGATTGAGAAAAATCAGACTTGGGAGTTGGTAAACAAGCCAGCAAATAGAAAAATTGTTGGAGTAAAATGAATTTACAAGATAAAAAATAATCCAGATGGCTCCATCATGAAGCACAAAGCAAGATTGGTTGCAAAAGGGTATTCACAATAGGCTGATGTTGATTATCATGAAACTTTTGCACCGGTGTTCCGCAAAGATACAATTCGGACACTTATTGCATTAGCAGCAAAAAAAGGATGGTTATTATATCAACTTGATGTGAAATCAACTTTTTTGAATGGTGAACTTGAAGAAGAAATTTATGTTCATCAACCTGATGGCTTTGTGATTAAAGGAGAAGAAGATAAAGTATACAAGCTCAAGAAGGCCTTGTACGGGTTGAAACAAGCACCCCGGTAATGGTACAGTCAAATTGATAAGTACTTCTTGCAAAGTGGGTTCAAAAGCAAAAGCGAGCCTACTCTCTATGTCAAGAAGCAGGGTAGCTCTATTCTTATTGTTGCGATTTATGTTGATGATCTGAATTTTTACCGGTAACAATGAGGCTGCAGTTACTGAGTTCAAAAAAGACATGATGAAAAGATATGAAATAAATGATTTGGGTC